CATAGCTTGTCCAATGGAATCTTTCCTTATATAAAATTCATGAGGTAAGAAGAACAACAGCAGGATCTGCTTCTCCTTTGTGCCCTCGTCAAGAGAACGATCAACTATTAAATTTAGACGACGATTTACAGGAAGGCAATGCAGACAACACAACTTCTCATCTTCTTCAGCAACCATCCGCTGGCCCATATACGAAGCTGCGTGAGGACGCTCTTTAAAAAGATTTGGACTCACCTCAACAGCAGGCCGAAGGAAAAGATACGCGAGGCCCGATATATCGGCGACCAATTTAAGCAGAATGGATATTCGAAGTCGTCTATAAGCCGATGCGTACGCGTTCGGCCTGAGAAAACCCACACAGAAGCACCGCCGAAGATATGGCACACTCGGCCACACATCACGGGGATCTCAGAAGAGACCGAGCGCATTGCTGCGGGACTAGGTGTTGGAAGTGCACACCGACTCAAGGTTACCATGCACAGCAAGGTAAAGAAAAGCAAATACCAACTTAATCTCAACAGGTAATATGGAGTAGTGTCACATCGCATTTCTAAGCTGTTCTTGTAATTACACAGGTCTAGTTGAACGCATGCTTGGGTCACGCATACATAAACCTAGGCTGGCTGCACGACGGGGCGACGAATTATCGTATGTTGGTGCTCAAATCTAGGGAACGGGCTATGAGTTCGACTTCGCAGCCGTCAAAATACTTGCCCACGCTGGAAACAAGACGAGAGGAGAGTTAATTTAAGTCTGATCCACGGATAGGAACTCATTCAATCGATTTGGCGTCGGCGTACAGAGCTCTGCGCAATCCTTTTGAGACGTGCGTCACCGACAGTTGATTGGTACATAGTCCCTGTAATCGCCACCCCCCATTTTGTTATTATTGTTGGCTCTGGCGATGAACTCCGATGCGAGTCTGATAGTTCAGGGGAACTAAACAAACTGCTCCGGTTCTCAACCGGCCTTATCGTTTACCCATGCAAACACCCGGAACGCGAACTTTCTCATTTATTCGCGGATCTGCTGTACCTGCAGGGCTGTGGCTGACGATAATCAGGCTATGCGAAACAATCCTGTATACAAAGGACTTCGCGTGAACTGCAGCTTCCGTCGCTCACAACTACCTGAACGCCAATGTGCTAAGTTAAGTAAGCTAACAGACCGCAATCCCAACAGCAGTCAAATTATTCGTCTCCCCCGCACCCCCCCCCGCTATTCCGATTAACTGGGTTTACAGTCTCTGGTAACGATGTATCATGGGGCGGCCGCCATATTATGAAAGCTCCCTGACCAAGTTTATTACGCAAATCGTGGCTAATTGTCTAATGCTTGATTAAGACGTAAGTAATGCGTGGAAAGTGTACAGTTGAGAATAAGTTAAAGCCGCTTGTAATTATTTTACTGAACTAAAAATATATGTGATAAGCATGAGGAAAGAATAAAATCGACCAACCTAAGCTCCTATTGATCAGCAAAGGATGCCTATAGACCAATAAAATATTTAGAAGAACTCTTATTGGTTAAAATAATGAATGAAGTGTTTGGATAGGCGAAAATTCTACCTCCGGCAAATTTGCAAGTAAGTGGTTATTATTAATACCAACCCTTAGGCACCCCTTTATGGATCGCTACCGAGCCACGCTTAAAGCAGCACTGCACAAGAGGAATTTAGGAAGTGTGCTGACTCGACATGTTTTTGGATAACACCAGATAGAATACAATAAAACTAACCGGACGTATGTAAAAAACACAGTGATTAATGACAAAATGTTGGATTATCTTTGGTTAAAACGGATTTCGATATAGAGGGAGAGAGAGAATAGGAAGGACAGTTAATAATACAAGATGTGATAGGGATAAAAACGAATTAAACATATATATGTTGGGTTTGGGGTCTACTGCATGGAGTAGGCACAAAAGAAGGATGACACTGTATACCCCTATAAAGTGACGCGTTCGTTACAAAGACGGAGAATCTTCTTTGCCAGTTTTTCATTAATCTCTTCTACATCCTTGATTAACACAAAAAAGCCCTCGGCCGCACAGTTATCAATGACATTGCGCCAGGCCGAAGCAGTAGCAATCAAGTGGGGATCAACAGAGTCATCCCTCTTGGGAGTTGCGTCCTCACAAAGGATTGCGATTGTAATCGGTGACGGACCACAAGTTGCCCGTTGGGTGTCTGTTGCGGAGTTGGTGCGCATCTAAGGGCAGGCAAAATGAAAAAAAACCATAAAATAACTGATAGAACGCAAGCCGCCAGGCAACGCTCCAAAGAGATGGCAGGAGCAGTAGGTTTTACCATCTGCCAGAATGCACAATCCATAGAGGCGGTATGATACCTGAGAAGACACGATCGCTGGGCCAAGACTTCTACTTGCCTGACGTTTCGAAGTGCGTGCATCGGGCACGGCTACGAGGCTGGCGATGGGGCGCATTAATTCAAGGCCGAAGGATTTCGATTTCCGAATAATTTTTAACACGATCTGCTGTTACACTTGCACTCAGAAGTTCCAAATTACAAGCTGTACAATTTCCATGTGAAACTATGGTCGTGCGCTACCAGAAGCAGTTTATTAACAAGTTGAAAAACTTTAATAGAAACGAAGTTGGCTCTACTGTCCGTGCTGTTTGACCCTACAAGAAGCATATACAACAGAGATCCGCCTCCTATCGACGTAAACAGACACGACAGGTCACACATGTGTAAACATGAACTTGACCCAATTCCAAATGGCAGGGATGCCACGCTCAACTTAGGCTACTTACAGCTGCAAGTAAATACCGTTAGGGGCTCCGCACCCTTAGGCTTCGAAATTGCTAAGTATGGCGTGCGTCTGCGGTGCACGTAACATTTGCGACTGCCTTCCCTAACTAACATTTGCCTCAACTCTCCTTGAGTCTGCTTCCCTCCCTCCGCCTCCTCCTCTA